TTTTAGTAAATTACGTGACGTATACGGTGAACATTGCTAATCACAAGCACGTGTTTTAAAGGGTCCGTCGAATCAAAGATGTCTGAATTTTTTTTATGTTCGTCGTTTGGCACATAAAGAGTTCGCACTATCGAACGAGACTATTATTCGTGAAGTTTATGGAGCGTTTGTAGCACCAGATTTGGCAACGAGAGGTTGGATTTTGCAATTCGATAACTCGCCACATCATTCAGCAATCATTCAGTAACTGAATATTTTGCCATAAAAAATCCTGTACTTGCTCGTCGACCCTGTAGTACAGATCTAGCACCGTAAAACTTTTCTTTCATTAAATTGAAATAAATAGCCGTCAAGTCAATGCTCTTGAAGACATTGTTCTTGAAGACAATTGGCTATTCTCTAAGAATTATCTACTTCTAATAAAAACACATTACAGTAATATATAAAAAGAAACCTTTACTACACAAGATTAGTCATAACAAACCTTACCGCATCCTACAAAACCATAGCAAACTCTCTAAATGCTAGATACATTTTTAAATCATTCTTTTACAGTTTTTGAAAATATCAGTGTTGCCAAAATATTAAAACTTAAAATTATACTTTATAAACAAATATCGCTAATTAAACTAAAATTAAACATAATATATTAACTGAAACTAAACGTAATATATAAGTCATAAACATAACTTAAAGATGCGTGGAAGATGTGACACCACTTGAAGATATCTGAAAAATGCAACCACAGATATTGTTTACAAGTTCAAGAATTTTACGATTCTCTGCATAGTCTTCTTTTGGGAACACATTTTTCAAAATAAAGTTTCATTATTACACTTTGGAATCTCTAGACCATATACCATCATTTTGGAATGCAGTACTTGCATATCGGCAAGATTTAAATGACATTGGAAGGAACTCATATGGACGCAGCAAAGCAATTTAGTGAATCAAATAGCAATCAATAGCAAAGCAACACAATGAGCATAATATTCTGAATGATTTTCGCACCTACTTTTTAGACTGGGAGAAACCTTGGCGCAAGTATGTTGAATTTCTGGGGAAATGTGGTGAAGGAATATAGGAATAATTTTCAGTTAATCCAAATTAATTTATTCTGCAAAACACTTCTCCTTATTTAGGTGTCGTACTTCGCATAAATTAATTGATTTACTTACCATAGGCCGCCCAACCGGTATAGTGGTTATAGTCTCTGACTGCCGTGCAGAAGGTCCCTCGTTCGAATCCCGGAGAAAGCATGGATGTTTGTAAATGTATAATGTCCGTGTGACATGGGGGCACTTTAAATATGTGGCGAGTCGAAAATCCTCTCGAGAGGTTGTGGTAGGGAAAGAAGGTTGGGAGATCCTGTTAAGTGCTCAAGGCTGTTGCCAACGACAGGCGTAAAATTGCGCACCTCGCCACGAGGAATTTACTAGGAGAGAGGACTCACTTGTCTGACCTATAGGCTATGTCTATAGGTCAGACACGTGGGCATTAACAACAACAACAAAGGAAAGGTTTTCACGGCAAGAACGCCCTGCATTACGAATGATTCGCATAACGAAAGCTATTCTCTAACGGATTGTTTTCGTCATATGATGCACTTTTTTGCGATTATGTTTTTTGGTCTTATTATATAGAACACTAATGAAAAAATACTTAATTTTTACATGAAAACACAAGATGTTATTATGTTTCCTTGTTGCAATAATCTCGCGAAAAGAAAACTGCCAACGTGGTTTAATTAAGAAATGAAGCTAATCATGAAATTTCGAAACTTAAGTTTTCTAAAGAGTTCATGCAAATCCCAAAACCCTTCTTTTATTCAGTGCAGGCTTTCTAGAAAAATGCTACTCTCAGCTTTCATCTATTTTCGTTTTTAACCTGTGGAATTTCATTTACACAGGTGTTCATCATAAATCAAAAAGGAGAATACGAAATTCTCTCTCTTTAGTTAGAATTGGGTAAATAATAAGTGACATTTTTATACTTTATTTTAACTTGATAAGAATGATCAAAATGGATTTTCGAAATGTTACTCTGTATTTCTGAAAATAATAATTCCGAAATATAAAGAGTGTGTGCAATATAATGTATGCACTTCATAAAGTGCACACATCTTTGTGAGTTTGATTTAATTTTCTGCTAATATTTAAAATAATTTATCAATAATTTCAAGATAAGCTTAAGTAGATGAAATGTCGTCTTGCATTTGTTTAAGCACATTTTCAAATAATAGCTTTATGAGCTTGTTATTCCAATCTAGCAGTTTATTTTATTATATTTGGATTGTTTTCGGAAGAGTAAAAATTTTATTATGTGATTCACTGTTTAAATCGATAGAAAGAAAGAAAATGTCTTTATGATCATAATAATTTGTTATTTCTTCTTTTTCAAGAAGACGTTTTCCTGCAATGAAATTCAGCAGGGCCTTTGGGCAAAAATGGCTACATAATTAATATTACATGGCATAATTAGCATTTCAGGAAATTCGGATTACTCCATAGTTACTTAATTTATTAGTTTCAATATAAAGGGATAAACTGAAAACCATGGCGATAAGTATCACTGGATATCATGAATTAAAACGTTTATGAACTGCTCTTGAAATCAAGATACAATAAAGGGATAAACTGAAAACTATGGCGATAAGTATCACTGGATATCATGAATTAAAACGTTTATGAACTGCTCTCGGAATCAAGATACAGTGGCAAAAATAATTAAAGGAACAATAATATAAAATATTGACAATGTTATTGATATTCAAAAAATCGAATGAAGCTTGATATGTGGCTAGAACGTTGTCACAATCATTGAATAATCCAAAACGATAGGATCATGCTGTATAACAATAGGCAAACAATTGGAGCCCCATTCTCTGGGGTATTTAACGGATTATACCAAGCGATGTTTAAATCCCAACTGAAAGAATTCTATAGATCGATATAGTGTAAAGATCGTGTATGGAAGAGGAATCATATCTTTAAGAAAGCTAATTAACTGTGAAAAATGACATGCTAACAAGAAGGTAGAGCACAGCCTCCAGGGTGCTCGATCTAAATCCCCAAGGGTCGATATGACATTGTATTGAGAAGATTCCATTCCGATTAGCGAATCAGTGGAAAAGGTAAATTAAAAATCACTATCGTGCTAAATAACTTAATTGTTATGGTTTTAGTTGATATTAAAGAAATAAATTGAGCCTTTTTTATGTGACCTTAACAGTGCTTAAATTGCGCCGGAGCCCACCGGAGCCCGGCTCCGGTACTTCTCAATTTTTAAGATAAATTACAATTTTAGCCGGAGTGCACCGGAGCCCTAAATAAGATGAGCTCCGGTACTTTTATAAAGATGAGCTCCGGTACTTTTTATAAAACTGAACCACAATTTAAAGGGAAAAAATTTAGAATTCCTAAAGTTTTAGTTTAACAATAAGCAGACCTTGCAATACTCTATTTCCCTAGAAATACGAACTCATGAGAACATGAGACGTTCAAGTAAAGTCCCCTCACTCACATGCGGAAACCTTTCCCTTTAAGAAGGGCAATAAATTTGGGGGAGTTTGTTTAGGAACGCGTAGATTTCTCACCATGCCATCGCATCTAGTGTATTGTTATCGATGGTTAATTATCCTCGCAGGAAGGAAAATTTGTGTTCTTAAATGGGCGTTAAGTGACAGCGAATACAATAAGAGTGAAATACTGACATAAAACAGCTCAAGCACGTCCTATACATCGTCTTCCCACAGTATCCACTAACGTGGGGGAAAGCGTAAACAGCAACTTTGCAGTCATCCTTAGGAGTCATATTCAGGACTCATTTTACCCCTGATGCACATCTGCTTGATGGCTATAATTATATCAGCAGAGAGCAGCGGTCAAAGAGAGCAGCGGTTGGTTCTCTCTCACCAAGGTTCCCCTCATTTTTTGTTTCCACCCACTCATACCCTCATTCTGTTTCGCCCTGGAATTTTCACCAGCTATACTTTAAGTACGTTTAGTTTTTGTGATGATAAAAGAACTTTTTCACCTCCCTACGATCAGAGCTTAAATTGAGCCGGAGCCCACCGGATATCGGCTACGGTGCTTCTTAGCTTTTGTAATAAATTATAATTCTAGCGGGAACACACCGGATCCCTGAATAAAAAGGCTGCGGCACTTTTTTTATGTAACTGAATAACACTTTAGTAGAAATTTTATCTCGAAAATTTTATTTTAACAATAAAATTATATTAAAAATCTCTTATTAAATTTCAATTTATCTCTTTACATTTTATTTAATTTTAATTTTTTAATTACTTCAATAAATAATAGTTAATTATCTAATAATTATCAATTAAATTTCAATTAATTATTTATGTAAAATTATCAATTAAATCATAATTACTTAATTATATAATAATTACTGATTAAATAACAATTTATAAACATTAATTAAATAGCTATTAATTAATTTGATAATAATTAACTATTTAATTTTAAAATTATTAATGAGTTTAATAGTCATTTTATTTATTTATTTACTCTTGTTCCTCTTTGCTGACGGTCTTCCACAGGGCTCCGGCACTTCTAATCTTAGAAATTAAGCCCTGGACCTTAAGTTGCTTTTGGACAAGCATAAATATTGTACAAAAATATTCGAAACTTTCTGAAGCTGTATTTTTGCTTTCCTTTCTAAGCTCATACGGATTAAAGTTCGGTTTAGCCATATTAATTCCGTCATAGTGGATCGTAGAAATAAATTAGATATAGAATTCTGCGTAAATTTAACGCTGAAACTCTTAACGAAAACTTTTGAACGAAGTTCGAAACGAACCATAAAATATATGATTGAAACAACAGCAAGGTCAAACTGTATACTAAAATTCCTGCTTTTATACAAATAAAACTAAATTTATTCTAAATTTGGATGACTTTCTCTTAGAAGATTTAAAGATAATAAATGTTTTATTGGTGAGTAAAAATTATGTTATGCATTCTTCTTTTTTATTTCAGGTGTAACAGTTGCAGTGAATGCTTGGACTCTTGTTGCCATATCTCTGGAAAGATTCTATGCTGTTTGCGAGCCCCTTCGTTCTCGACGTTGGCAGACCTCAACACATGCTTCAAGAGTTGTCATCAGTATATGGATAGTGTCGTGTTTCATAATGTCGCCTATCGCTTGCGTAGCAGAGCTCTTGCCAACACAGCCCGCTGGCAAGTAGTTTCATTTATATTTATCTGAACGTGATCATAAAGATCATTGGTATTATTTTATTTCTGTACTGCTAATGGCTGCTTGAATATATTGACCAAAATAAGCTCTTAAGGTCTGGTGTTTTCTTAAAGTTGTGTCGACGGGTTTTAACATCTAAAGCAAAACACAAAATTGCCCCCCTTAATACTTCCTCCATTAAAATTGAAATTTCTTTAGTTTCTTTTAATTAAGAAATTTTGATTTTGAAAGAATAAATCCGGCCGCTCTTTTTTTTTTATCACAACAAAAAAACTGAACTCTACACCCTCAAGGCGACTCGACTTACAACTCTAGCTTACTGAAAAATACTCTAAATAAACTAACTCGTCTTTAGAGAGTTATATGTTTCGGTAGTGAATAAAACAACCCCAGAATAAAAAAAGCATACTAAATTTACAAGTTGAATTTTCCCGTCTGTTTCCTTCCTTCCCTCCCACTCCCCCGAAATCCCTCAGTTTTCTTACGATGTTTCATTTTAAATGGTAGAATTTTTTCCCACATGAGCAAAATGTAGTTCATTTAGGTCTCGTACTTCACATAAATTAATTGATTTACTTACCATAGGCCGCCCAACCGGTATAGTGGTTATAGTCTCTGACTGCCGTGCAGAATGTCCCTCGTTCGAATCCCGGAGAAAGCATGAATGTTCGTAAATGTATAGCGTCCGTGTGACATGGGGGCACTCTAAATATGTGGCGAGTCGAAAGTCCTCTCGAGAGGTTGTGGTAGGGGAAGAAGGTTGGGAGACCCTTTTAAGCATAGTGGGGAAAAAGCAACAGATTCGGGAAATCATAATTCAATAGATCAGTGGAAATCCTTTACTTTCGAGGGGTGGGGTAAAACTCGAGATTATTCCAGACAAAGCACAAAAGTCATCAACGACAATTGTTACTGGCAAAATAAAAATTTATTCAGTAATTAATAAAAGCTGATATTCTTTACATGTTTTTATATATTTTAAATTCTAGTCTGTTACTCTGTATCGTATTATTTTAGCCAACTTATATTATATTCAGATTTTGCAAGTTTTAAAACAATATCACGTTAGTAAAATCATAGAAAGTTCTTTGCTGCCTTTTTTTTATCATTTTTAACAAATTTATTTTTAACAAGCAGTTTCTTTATTTATCTTTTTATTTGCAGGAAAATATAAATGCCGTGAAAGTTGGCCCAATAACTTATGGGAGAGATATTTCAACTTGTTTCTGGATTGCATCCTTTTGGTTGTACCATTAATCATCATGGCAACCGCTTATCTACGCATTGGTTTAGTTCTCAGGAGAGAAATCCTGGAAGTGTCGGAAACAGGTACGCACAGTAAAAACCATTTCTGTGAATTTCTTTGATAAATCATTGTAAACTGTGATTTAAGATTTGAAATTTAGAAATTGCAGTGTTATTCTGATAATAACCTTTAACATCGATTTCAAGAAGGGGAGTATATTAATAATAAGAACTGAATTAGGATATTAAAACGATCAAATTGGATTCTGAAATACTTTTCAAAATACAATTTCATATCTATTTTCAAAAAATACTTTCAAAAATACTTACAAAGTGCTATTTCTAGTCAGCTGATAAAGTTTCTAATTAACTATATTTAATGAAATCATCATCTGTTTCCTCATGAGGCTGAATCAAATTACAATGAGAGTACAAACTGCATCCTACGTCCTTTTTGTAAAAAAAAAGTTCTGTAGGTTTTACATATTTTTAAATGAGCTGATTGTTTTCATAGTGAACATATTTACTTGCACGACCTTTAAATTTCGACTAATGTTTGGGCTAAAATCTTATATTTAGGCTAATAAGATAAATAGGTTTATGCAACAAAAAGCAAAAACAAAATCAAAAATTTTGAAACTGGTGAGAAAAGTTCAGGTCATAATTTTGAAAGCTCTCAAGAGCTGTCATCTCTCAAAGCCCTCAGCGTTGAATTATGCGTCGAAGCATGTAATCAATGATTAGCCGACACTGTTCTGTAGGAATAATTATCCAAATGGTTTACAGATTAGACCATAAGTGTGTGCACTAGATGAAGGTTCATTGACGGATGTTAGATTTCTGTCCGTTGCACCTTGTAAATATTCATATCAATGAATCTTTCACAATAGCATCACTGTACAGTCACCGTAGTAAACAGGGGAATGTTCCTTGATTCTCCTCTTGGCAACAAAATATTGGTAATATATTGTACTACCTTGCTGAAATACTTATCCATTATTTTATAAGGTTATTACCTGGTCTAGTACTGCACTTTAGTCCTATAACCCTAGCAGACATGTAGCGAGTTACAGCTAAGACTGAGATATTACAACAAAATCTTACGAAGGTTTTCAAAACAACCTTTTTATTTAAACAGAGATTTGAACATAATGTCGCAACTTTGTGCTAAACATAATCAGAGCTTGTAGAAATACAAATTAAAATAAGAACAGTCAATTAAAGTATTGGCGGTGACAGAACATAAAGCCGAGATAGTTATATTTAACTAGAGCTGACAGAATCTAACCTCGTAGCGCAAATTCCAGAAACCCTCTTGATACTGCAATGGTTTAGACAGGAGTTCTACTGCTTAAGCAGTGCTTTCTGTTCTCTGAATGAATCCACTGTGGGCATGATGTTAAAAAACGCATGAAAGAATTCCCGCAGCAGAAGAACGTAATGTAGAGAAAAGAAGAGGTCACATTTTCCTCTAATAGAGCAGAAAACAGCTAACGAAAGCTATAAGTTGACGGCAAAGTGACGCCATCTGATAGTCTGAAGGAGCGATGAAAAATCGCAAGACAGGAAGGTGAAAACAGGCACACCGCGAGGATCATTGCTTGACGAATCAGGGAGCTGGATTTCAAGTGACTTTCGTCGGTGAATCTTAAGTCGGAGTGAGAGAAAATATAAATTTTTTCTCTATATTTTCGACGATATGAAGAAGTTTAGACGTCTTAAAAGATTTCTAATACTGCTAGAGCCAGCTTCATTTCCTGAATCGGCAATTTCGTAGACTTCCATTTTTTAGCAATTTTCAGAATTCTAGAGAGAAGATTATTGACATTCGTACCTGAAATCAAGTTCATCAGATTCTAATCAGTAGAAGCCTCTTGAAACTGGGAGTTGCAGGAGGAGAGGATTTCATCAGCTATGGAATCGACTTTTCCTTATTGCGAATTTTAAGGGAAATTAGCATTCTTTAAACAATGAAATATGACTCTTTTTGCATCTGACACAGTGGGTTTTGCTTCTCTAGGCAGTTCGCAGTTGTAAGTCAAGTGGCTTCTTGAACACTTGAGACAACGTTGCAGAAAATTTGGCCGTGGCTAAATCGTTCACATCTAACGCACTGAATCAGATATTTACTCCATCGGTAACTTCTGATGTATACATTCAGGTTTAGTACAGTCTTCACAGTGTAGAGTTTTCTGCCTGCGTCTGTTCGGCTCTAAAAGGCGAAAAACACGAGAAGCATCTCTTCACGGAAATGGTTCTATGCTTTATCTAGAGAGTTTATAAGGTATTTCTCCCACTTCCCTAGCGTGCCTTTGTGGTGTAACGGTAGCACGCTGGGCCGGTATTCCACAGGTCCGTGGTTCGATTCCCGGCGAAGGCGGTTGCACATTTTTCATCTTTTCTGCTTCCAATTAACCTAATGACTCTACAAATGGCGCCCGAACTAAAAGGGTTGTGGATGATGATTCTCCGCACCCAGGATTTGGCGACTAGGTCCCCTAAAACCCTAGTCGCCCTTTAAAATGGGGAGTATATAAGGTATTTCTCCCACTTCCCTATTGTGCCTTCATGGTGTAACGGTAGCACGCTGGGCCGGCATTCCAGAGGTCCATGGTTCGATTCCCGGCGAAGGCGGTTGCATATTTTTCATTTTTTCTGCTTCCAATTAACCTAATGACTCTACAAGTTGTTTTAATTTTTGAACTGGAAATCTCTTCGTATAGAGTTCGTTCATAATTTCATCGGGTTTTGAATCCACTGGTAGTCCACAAATGGTCACTTTCAGAGGAGTGTCCGCTTTGGCTCTGAAAGTACTAAATTGTATCCCATTTTTCATCAGACGACCGAGAGCCTGGGCACGTTGGTCACTCCATTTATATGTAACCATGATGGATTTCCTGGTTAAAGTTCTGATGAAGTCATTTTCTCCATCCTGAGTAAAAAGACCTTTTAGTTCATTCCAGATGACTTCCGGACTAGGACAAAGAATCGATAGTGATCATTCTTTTTTAATTGACGGTATAATGTCAAGATTAATTTTTGTGGGCGTCTCTTCATTCTCCGTTACATCGGCAGGCTAAATGATTATTACTTGAATATTTTCAGGCTCCAAATTTTGCAAATGAATTTGAAGTTTAAGGCACTGGAGCGTTGTTCCGGGCAATTTGTGACTTTGTGCGTTAGTAACAGGTTTGTATCTTTGATCAAGATACTTAAGATTCTTGACAAAAAACTTAGAACATACAAGTCCTTTTGTAAAGTTCGTTTCGATGCGTTGTAATCTTTACAGTGACATTATCACCTCTTTCACGGCTCTTTTGCACTACTGCGATTTTGTCTAGGAAATCCCAAAGTTCACCGGATTCTTCCAATCCACATTGAATTAAATGGAGCTTCGTTTGAGTAACAATTAGTAGAAAATGCTCAATAACTGACATGATAAAATTCTAAATCCAAAGCGTAAGAAAAAAATGAACTTCAAAATATGCGTACGTTGTGGTGCGACGTCAATCTCGGAATGTGTGTTCTGGCTCTCGCTCAAGATCCATAAACCTCAGCTTAAATGCACAACCAACTAATTTGCATTATGGAGAATAATACGGAAAGAAGAAGTTAAAGATCCAAATCATAATAACTGGTTAGTTTAAAATAAGAACCGTGCAATTCGAATGCTCGGCAGTCGTGAAAGAATGCAAGTTACCTAGGGGAATATTTTCATAAAGCATGCCTGTCAACGATTGCTGTAAACGGACAAACTAACATAAATGCAGAAATGCCTTGTATGACACTACAAAATTGTGTCCCTCACTTGAAGAATACCTTACAGAAAAGAAAAAACGCCCATATCTTCATGAGCCATACTCGGCGCTCTAACACTGAAATCAGTACGAAATGATCCGGAGATACAACTCGGAGGTCAACTAGTCAACTCGAAAGGATTCCAAGTGGGATATATGTAGGAGAATGTTTCTTAAATACTATACCAAGTATACTAACTCAATTTATTTTAGAATTGTCCTACCCAATAGTCCTTTTATACTTTTCCGTAGTTGAATAAATATTAACCTGTCTATTGCCTTAATTTTCTTAATACTTTTTCCTTTACTTTTATTTTATAACATATCGCCACACTGGAAATTAAAATATACGAAACTTACTATAGTTTTGCCATTTCCTTTATTTTTCGAGCAACATTCTTGCTTAGTTAAAAAAGTTAAGATTTTTTTATCTAAGCAACATTCTTGCTTAGTTAAAAAAGTTAAGATTTTTTATCTAAGCAACATTGTTGCTTAGTTAAAAAAAAAAAACTAAGATTTTTTATCTTATTAAGTCTTTTATAAGGTATTATTACTTAGAGATGATTATTCATGATTTGCAGTTTATCCCAATTTATTGCGTTAACACCACAGCTGTATAATATTGGATCTGTAAATGTAATTAAAAAACGACTGAGGAAATTTCCGTTTTCTTAATACATGTAGAATGACTGAGAAATTTTATATTTTAGATATGCATATTTTAAACATTTGCATATTTGATTTAAAAATCTTCTAATAATGTATAACAGATTTTATTTACTAGTGTATATGTTAAGAGTATAAAGCATGTTTCATTACTTACTTTTCTCTTTCCATATCTGATTACCTGATTAGTGTTTTTAATACTTTAGATGTGTTTGCTAGAACACCAAGTGGTCCACAATATTGCAGTAGCCAATTATCATCATCCAATGATTGCGCCTTGTGCAGGCCACATAAATTTAACTTCATAGAGCCAAAGGTGTGTACCCATTCTTTAGTTCAAGATGGTTCTACAAGATCCTCGGCAGTCACCTCGCAATTTCACTCTGGACATTTCTATAGTACCACTGAAAGTATATCTGCTGTGAATCTGAATGTGAACCGCAACAACCTAGATCGCCGGTTAGCTATAAAAAAGAGAGTTACATGTATGCTTTTCGTCATTGTCTTAGAGTTTTTTATTTGCTGGACTCCAATTTATGTTGTAAATACTGTATCTACTTTCGAACCTGATTTCATTTACAAAGATGTTGGATACTTCACCATATCATTTCTTCATTTGCTGTCTTATGTATCTTCCTGCTGTAATCCCATAACATACTGTTTTATGAATCGAAATTTTCGAAGGGAATTTTTGCAAACATTCACAAAATTTTGTTTTTTGTTAAACCCTTCCTCTTCAAGAAGAAGTTCTAGAAGTAATCCTATTCTTAGTTAATAAAAAAGACTAATATATTGAAAATGTATTGCATTGTTTCTTGATATCGGAATTAGGTGGGAGAGCCCGAGAAGCTAAAAATTATAATATACTTACAAGGTGACAATTATTGAGCTATATGAAATAAAAAATCAAACTTTCAAAAACTAATGAGTTCAAAAATTCAGATCAAATCGAGATCAGGAGAATATGGTGGCTAAGCAATTCCCATTCCAGTGGCCTTTGTATACTACAGAGCCAGAATGCGCTATCCAAAGTGCTCTTACAGAACATGAAACATTGTATCGGTCCGATGGGTCGTGCTACGCCGGGCATGAACCAGATCTTTTAGAAATCTGGGTCACTTTGGAAAAGAGGGATGACATCATTTTCTAAAATTTTGACATAACATTCAACAGTCACCTTGCACCAATCATTCCGCGACTTGATACTGCACACCAGTTTATGATAAAGAGACTCCTCAATCACGAAATACGGATTTTCAGTTCCCAGCGGCAATTCTACTTATTGACGTATCCATCGAAATGAAATTGGGCTTCGTCGCTAAAACAAACCATACTCACATCAAATTATTGTTTTTCAATCATATCGACAATAGCGCCAACGAAACACAAGAGCTGTTCAATGACAAATGCGCTCAATGTCTCATGATCATGAGTCCGAATTTTGTCCAGAAAGAGCTGCAGGTCTTGAACAGCAATTTGTAACAGTCTCCCGGATGATTCCGAGCTTGTAGTCGGTCGCAAATTTCCTTTTGAGCAACAATTGGACTGTTGTTGCTCGAATAATAGGACTTAACGATGACTATTCCCTCAGAAAGGCAGCATTTTGCCATTTCCAACGAAAATGAACAAAAACAACAACAATAAGAGTGCGCATGCTCAAGCAAATTCCCATAATACTGTGCATTCAGCCGCCAAGTTTTAATTGAATCTCGCCAATGGTTCAAAAGTTATCAAAGTATTTTTTTTTTCAAAGAGCTCAATAATTGTCACACTGTATGTTCGCCTGTAAGTTATATTATAATATATTAAAATAAGTATATATAAAGTGAACAAATCTTCACTATAGGATTGCTTACGTATGCAAGAAAATGAAAATTCATGAAATATTGATATAAATATAAAAAGATTTGCATAAAAAGAGATTTTTTTACTCATCCGAGGTGCCTTCATTCGCTTGAAAAAGATCCGTTTTACTTTCCGGTTTCAATTTAAATAAAATTTGAAGCTCGCTGACATATGAACAGGAGTAAATCACACTACAAAGAAATTTAGAATATCAGCAGTTAAAGTCAATATCTATTCGTACCAAAGTACCGATATCCTAAGTAATGCTAAAATACCTACTTATTGTAACAGAAGAGCAGTGTATGGCGGGCACCCTTGTGCAAGTCCGATTTGGGTTTCAGTTACTGCTGAATTAATAAAGGAAATAAATTTTCCGTACGTTTATGAAAAATGGGACTTTGGTTATGACTGTCAGCATCTTTATGAAAAATGCTAAATTGTTATAAATCTGCCTGCACCTTTATGAAAAACACTGGATTGGTATAAGAGTATCCGCAATCACTTTCAAGCTAAAAAATGATTTTCAGTTTGTGTGCTCTCCCTCTTATACCGGAGTACCTTTATGAAAGTTTCTGTCTTTTCGAACAGCGGTCAGCTTGCATAAAGGTACCGCATCCTTATACCAGGGAACCCTTATGAAGCAGTCTCTTTTCAATACAATGCAGAACTGCTCCATTTTCGACAAGACGTACCGAACTATCTGGATGTTACATTTCGGAGCCAATGCATTCAACAAGGTGATACTATACCACGACCCCCATTCTCTCCCGATTTGTGGTGTCTCAGTTTCTTTTTGTGGAGACATCTCAAGTGCTTTGCCAATGAGACTAATGGTGAGGAACTCGTCACCGGTATTTCGGTCCTTGTTACCACTGTTTGCGATGTCTTTAGTGTTTTTTTTTTTTTTTAAACGTTTTGCAATCCCTTCATTGCCGTTGTAAACCGTGCATAATGGTTTTCAGACGATCTTTTGCACAATTATTTATTTTAATTATTCATGATTAAAGTTGTTTTCACATTTTATGTGTCCACCATTTTCTCATTTTAAGCGTTCCCACCTTCTCGCCTTTATTATCAATACTATTCATTCTATATCATAAAATTATTGTTTCTGTGTTTTGTTTCACAATTTAAATGTTTCACAATTTAAAGTTTGCCCCATCTATTTTGAAATACCTTGTAACATTAATACATCCAGAAATGAAATTTAGCTTATTCGCATGGATTCGACAGAATCACTCTCTAAAGATTTTTACTTCAACGAAGGGACAGTTAAAAGTGTAGCTTTAATCGATGGCGTTTGAAAAAATTCTTTGTTGGCTTAGTTCCTTAAGTACTGATCCTAGATCTACACATTCCGTTATAAAGATTTAAAAAAAAAAAAAAAAAAAAGGTAGATAATTTCTGAAAACTATTTGTGCACTATGAGTGTAAGCGTCTGTAAGCAATAAAATATAGCGTTTTATATGGCTCTCCTTGAGAAATATTTCCAATTAATAAAACTTTCATTATATTTTAAGTAAATAAAATTTTCCGTATCTTTACGTGCAAGATTCGAGAAATTAGAAGGTTTTTTTATGACTTAACTCACTTAATATATCACAGTATTCACTTAGAACATGTTATAAAGTATTTCTACCGCCTTCTCAGCATGCCTTCGTGGTGTAGTGGTGAGCACATTCGGCGCGTATTCGAGAGATCCGTGGTTCGAGTCCCGGCGAGAGCATTGCTCATTTTTCACATCTGCTGCTTAAAACTAACCTAATATCTCTACAATGTTTTAGGGATCAGAATGGTTTTCACTGGAATTCTTTGGTTTTGAAGAGACCCCCTTCATTTCCTTAGACAGTGCTAGCAAACTAAAACACACGTGTGAAAATGATTTCCAAAATGGGAACAAATGTTTATGTTTTCCTCAGAATTCCCATCAGTAGGTTCTTGAGCAAGAGGAGGGTTGGGAGTTTCTCATAGGGGCATATTTATTTAAAACTGAAATGCTTCCGATCACTTCGGTGCTCAGGCTTTCGGTTATATGCATATATTTACGATGCTTTAAATACTTTAACTCAAATTTTGTACTACATGCCTCTACACCTTGATGTTTCTGTTTTAAAAATACATTTGCAGCAGGAAAGTAGTTAGCTATCTTTATTTGCGCTTTCAAAGATTATATGGAACAACATAATCCCTCTGTTCTTTTTGCCTCAAGATATTATCTATATAGAGCAGGGTTAAGTCAGTTGGGGCCTCTGGCAGTAAAATTTTTGGAGACTTTAAGTGTTTACGTTTCTATTTGCTTTGAATGCAGCTAGTGCTGAATTGTAATCAGTAATTAAACACAAATATTTATTTAATATTATTAATATTTATATATAAATGTGATTTAATACTTTTATTTCTAAATACGCTTATATTATTTTCTCTGAATATCAAGAATGAAATAATTAAAAATTAACATTACATAAAAAATAATTCAATATTCTGTTGGAAAGGAACGTAAAACATCAGCTGCTAAAGCATTTTGTAGGATATTTAAAATTAAAATAACTGATTATTAAATTAGATGACTATTAAGTCGAAGGTTTAATAAATTTTTTTCTGACTTCTTTCAAGCAAATTCATTAAGTAGTCTCAAAGTATCGCTTTTAGTTAACATTTCTTGCTCCGTGTGTAATAGAGACATGTAGTTTATAAAGTATTTCTCCCGCCTCCTGCCTTCGTGGTGTAGTGGTTCTGCACTTTGGGCCGGTATTCCAGAGGTCCGTGGTTCGATTCCCGGTGAAGGCGAGTGCTAATTTTCCATCTCTCCGGCTTTTCTAATTAACCTAATATCTCTACATTGACTCCCGAACTAAACGAGTGGTGGTTGATGATTCTCCACCCCCAGGATTTGGCGACTAGGTGCCCTAAAAACCCTAGTCGCCCTTTAAAAGGGGGAGTTATATAGTAAGGTATTTCTCCCGCCTTCTTGGCGTGCTTCGTGTAGTGGTTTTGCATTCTAGGCCAGTATTACAGAGGTCCGTGGTTCAATTCCCGGAGAAGGCGATTGCTCATTTTTCATCTTATTTGCTTTAAAAAAATACTTAATGTCTCTACAAGTTTAATTTTTCTTATAACACTGTTCTTCTTAAATAGACTTTTTTTATCGTTTTTGACACAGAAAAATCTTTGGCAGCATGATTTTCTTGTCTAGTACATTCGTGCATAATATCTGTATAATTTTTATAAATCTCTTTTAACTTTCCTGCACAGTTTTCTTCCCAGATTCAACGAATTTAAATTAAAGAATGCTTCAAAATTTTCTGTTATCTTTATATCATTTCTACAGGCATCTTCTGCAATTATATTGTCCCAAATGATATTAAAATAATCAAAAATAATTTTCGCCCGTTGAAAACTCAAATCCTTCCTTAATTTATCAAAACGTATTTTCTTTATTTGTGACAATTATGTTCTTCAAATATCAAACACGTCAGGGGAGTTGCTTCTTTATCTGTGTTAAAAAATTCTTTATGAAATCGTGCATAAAATTTTCCAAAGTTTTCACAAATCACACTTAAAGGCGCCCTCAGTTGATACCAAGTATTTGCTGCTGTTATTCGTTCTCTGTAATAATGTTCAAGTTATCGTCATGATATATTCAACAGCATTTTTCCAGACTCCTATGGGATCCATTTAGCGCCAAAAAGTTATTTGAGGATATTATCTTCCCCAACTCAAATAACTCCATTTGTAAATCCCTGGGAGCTTTGGATATATCTACAAAGCAATGAAAAAAATAATTGTACAAACTAAAAATAGAATTTTTTAAACCTATTCTCTCTCTTCCTCCAAAATTAAAAGTACATGCGCTCGCATATTAGCACAATATATACAAGCACGGACAGATAACTAAAATCAAAAACTCCGCAACATACAGGGTGCTGAGGGGTGTGGGGCAGAGGGAGGAAAGTAGATACTGTCTGTCTCTCAGAACAGCTCCGTCGGGGTGCCTGATGAGTGGCATTTAATATG